ATTGCTCCCTGTCTTCTAAAATGGAATGTGGTATAGAGAAATCTTAGGCCAGCCTATAGATGACTTGTTGATTCTGACCATGTATCTGGAGAGTTCTTTAGCTTTGAACTAAATAACTTAACAATATGGATTATTCAATATCAGTTTTCCTTTGAAAAAGATATGTTCTTTTTCTGGGCAATTTAGTTCACATTTCATTTCATAGAAATTTTCTTTTATATGTTTTTTCTGCATTTCCTTTGATTGTCTCAAGTCCTTATGATTTAATCTGCATCTTGTTTCTCATTTATTAATCAGTTCTGTAATTGTACTGTCTTCACCACTAATCATATGCTCATTTATACCACTCTGTTCTTTACTAAAGTATTAGGAGAGTTTGAGATCCTCTCTGCTGTCTTTATTCAGGAATTATATTTATTTTTGTTAGTGTTATTTTACTATTTCCTTAAATATATTTGTATTTCTGCAAGGCTTTATAAGAATTCCATGGTAATCTCTGACTGGTATTAGGAAAGTAATAGATGTCACTGTAGTAAACAACTTTATAATTAATTGAATGCCTGAATTCAAAACTTTCTGATTAGGATTAGTATTATCTTGGAACTTTCTAGCAGTTTGCTTTAGAGTCTGTCCTGTTAAACGTTTTTAACAATAACTTAGGTAAAGAGTAGAATATGTGGCTATCAAAGTTTACAAATGATGTGAAAGTAAAGAGAGCTAGATAGTAAATATGTTGGATGACAGAATAAAGACTATATTTCTTAGCTAGTTAGGAACTAAGACAAATAGGATGATTTTAAGTAGAAATACATAGAATATTTATGTTTAAAACATAACAATACGAAAGACATTTTTAGCTAGATATATGAAAAACACTTTGGTATTTTAGACGATAGTATTCTTAGAAGTCCACTTCTAAAATAGCTGTCTGAAAGATAATACCGTCTTAAATTTAATGAATAGAAGTCTGGTCTCCGTAATTATGAAAGTGGGTGTTCTTTTTTTCTTGGTAATCAAATCGCGCCTACGTCATTGTGGGAGACAGGTTGAAGGAAAACAAAAGACAAATTAGAGCACATTCAGAGAATAAACATGGTATTTATAAGCCTCAAATTTATGCCATATGAATAATAATTGAGGTAGGGCATGGTGGCTCACACCTGTAATCCCAACACTTTAGGAAACTGAGGTGGGAGGATCACTTGAAGCCAAAAATTTGAGACCAGCTTGGACAACATAGTAGTCCCAGTTACTCAGGAGCCTGAGATGGGAAGATAGCTTGAGCCCAGAAACTGAAGGCTGCAATGAGTTATGATGGCACCACTGCACTCCAGCCTGGGTGACACAGTGAGACCCTGTCTCTAAAAAAAAGAAAAAGAAAAATAATTGAAGAAACAAATGGTTATTAATATGAAGAAGAGAAGACTTGGGCCTTATAATAGTGGTCTTTAAATATTTGAGGAACTCTTGGGTGGAACTGGAATGAGATTTATCCTCTGTCATTCCAAGGAAGAAACAACTAATGAGTTAACATGACAAACTGTCAAGAGCTATATAGAAAGATCATTAAGTCTCACAATGTCATTTGGGGAATTTTTGTTGAGGGATATAAATATTAAACTTTCTTTTATATGAATATATATAATGTGTATATCTATTATATGTTTATGGATAGTTTTGTCTCTTCCAGTAACTAGAAAAGTTTTCACTGTCTTAGAAGATAGTTCAACTGCATTTTTATGAATCTGACCTGAATACAATGTTACTTACTTTCAGAATTTTTTTGTCACTTAATTATGAATATCTGATTTTAGTTACTTTGTACCATTACGACTAAGAAATACTAATTTTTAAAGTCTTGGCCGGGTGCGGTG